CACAAACACAGGTCAGATTTTATACTTTATTTAAAACCAACACAAACACAGGTCAGATTTTATACTTTATTTAAAACTCACACAAACACAGGTCAGATTTTATACTTTATTTAAAACTCACACAAACACAGGTCAGATTTTATACTTTATTTAAAACTAACACAAACACAGATCAGATTTTATACTTTATTTAAAACTAACACAAACACAGGTCAGATTTTATACTTTATTTAAAACTCACACAAACACGGGTCAGATTTTATACTTTATTTAAAACTCACACAAACACAGGTCAGATTTTATACTTTATTTAAAACTCATACAAACACAGGTCAGATTTTATACTTTATTTAAAACTAACACAAACACAGGTCAGACTTTATACTTTATTTAAAACTCATACAAACACAGGTCAGATTTTATACTTTATTTAAAACTCACACAAACACGGGTCAGATTTTATACTTTATTTAAAACTCACACAAACACAGGTCAGATTTTATACTTTATTTAAAACTAACACAAACACGGGTCAGATTTTATACTTTATTTAAAACTCACACAAACACAGGTCAGATTTTATACTTTATTTAAAACTAACACAAACACAGGTCAGACTTTATACTTTATTTAAAACTAACACAAACACAGGTCAGACTTTATACTTTATTTAAAACTCATACAAACACAGGTCAGATTTTATACTTTATTTAAAACTAACACAAACACAGGTCAGACTTTATACTTTATTTAAAACTCATACAAACACAGGTCAGATTTTATACTTTATTTAAAACTCACATAAACACAGGTCAGATTTTATACTTTATTTAAAACTAACACAAACACAGGTCAGACTTTATACTTTATTTAAAACTAATACAAACACAGGTCAGATTTTATACTTTATTTAAAACTCACATAAACACAGGTCAGATTTTATACTTTATTTAAAACTCACACAAACACAGGTCAGATTTTATACTTTATTTAAAACTCACATAAACACAGGTCAGATTTTATACTTTATTTAAAACTAACACAAACACAGGTCAGATTTTATACTTTATTTAAAGCTCACACAAACACAGGTCAGATTTTATACTTTATTTAAAACTCACACAAACACAGGTCAGACTTTATACTTTATTTAAAACTCACACAAACACAGGTCAGACTTTATACTTTATTTAAAACTAACACAAACACAGGTCAGATTTTATACTTTATTTAAAACTCACACAAACACGGGTCAGATTTTATACTTTATTTAAAACTAACACAAACACAGGTCAGATTTTATACTTTATTTAAAACTAACACAAACACAGGTCAGATTTTATACTTTATTTAAAACTCACACAAACACAGATCAGACTTTATACTTTATTTAAAACTCATACAAACACAGGTCAGATTTTATACTTTACCGGTACTTAGATTCAATTCTTAAACTATATCAGTACAACTCTGATTCAGACTTGATTTAATTCATTCTTTAGGCGAGGGTGTAGTCCTGTCCTACAATAAAACTCTCAACAGACTTCATTTTGTTGACTGTAGGGGAGATAATGAAAGATTATTCGGGTGAAAGAATATTATTTCCAGTGACTTATTATATTTTCAGGTGCCCAAATTATCTCGAAACCTGGAGAATTTATTTGGGGCTATGTGTGAGTCGGACCCTAATCAAAGATTAGCATTGGTCCATGTTCTAGAGGTAGGTTTAAATATTAATAGATAATATATATAGAATACAGCTTGAAGTTTATTATTTTAATTTTCTGTGTTTACTGATAAAATAATTAATAATGTTACGATATTTTCAGGCGTGTACAGTTCATGCCCAGAATAAAAAGAGTCGAAAATCTTCGTCTAGTTATGTTACTAGACTACACGCCATGGCAACAGGAGGTAATGTTGATAATGTAAGTATAAAATAATTCTCTATGTAGTTACTATATATTGGTACCCCGTTGTTTTCAAACATCTTCTATCATGAAGACTTTTTGCTTGGATTTTCCATCACTATTTATGACACAGGGGTTCTTGGGTTAAAAATTGTCACCTTAAATATGCCTAAACCATGGTGGATGTTTGTTTTTCTAAGAAATATTTTGATGATTTGTATATTTTTGTAGATGACATTAAGTATGATTGGTAGTAGTTATGGTAGTGACGTCAGTAGTTTAAATTTCTCTACAGACCGTCCTAACAGCCGTCTTCAATATCGCGAAGGTCGAAACAGACGTCATCGTCAAACATCTAATAGATCTAGGTCAAGGTCTCGATCACCAGAACGAGGTAAACAAGTCTTTATAATTTGATTTTATGCTGAAATAAAAAAGACTCTTGGATTATTCCCTGTCAAGAGAATTAAGGTTTTTAAGGATCTAGTCTACTGACTGATATTAGTCAAACCTCTTGATATTGATTTTCAACAACCCTTTTTAGAAATTTCTTAATTATTTTTACTTTAGATGTGGTAGAATCTGATGTAAAATTTTACAGTAGGAAATCCAATCCTGATCGAGATTCTGGAATAGGAACGCTGCGAGAATCTAACAATACCACCAGAAATAATGATAATTTTCTAGATGCCCAGCAGGTTTATTACTCACAGAAACAATACCCTGGCGCTGTAGCACTGAAAACTTCCACTTTACCAACCTACCCACAGAAACCTGATTCCAAGTTAACAACTGATCCTGAAGTCCAGACCAGACACCCAGATCTTCCTACTGCACCCTACCCAGTGGGTTACGAGAAATATTTACAGCTTAAAGAAAGACAGAGAAGATTAAGAGCTATTAGAAATTATGGAGGAGGGCCATTATCATTCAGGAAACAAGGTGATGAAAGAGATGTAAACTCAGATAACAGATCACTTTACTCTCTTACTACAGGTACAGTCTTTATTTTATCTTTACTTTATAATGGGAAGTAACTCTGTAGTTTAATTACAACCAGTCAGACTACAATTAATTATTGATAAACTTTAATTGTCTTTATCCATGGAAGATGAGTGGATGGTAGATTCATTAAAACGGAATTCTGACTCAATCCTTTTCCCAGTGTACATCAATATAGAAGTTTTTGTTAACTTTTACTTTTTGAATAATATCTAGAGTTGTAATTCAAGGTGATCTCATTAATTTTTTCCTGCTGAAAATCTTGATCAATTCTTTCCTTATTGACATATATTACTGTATAATTAAATTAGATATTTAATACTAAGAGGAAATATTATATTATGACGATTTTCCTGAAGGAAGTATTTTTGATACATGTTTATTGATATTAAAGGGGTTGTAATGAGGGTTTTGTAAACTAGTATGTGTATTAGGAACACTGATAGTTTCTGGTTTTCTAATCATTCTTTTAATTTCCTCCTTGTAAGATTTATAATATTTAGTTTGTGTAGGATAAATTTAACCACATACCAGGGCCCTGATATTTGTCTATTCATTTTATTTTCCATGTAGATTTCTTCTTGTTATTTATTTTGATTGATAGAAACATCTGAATTTTACTTTTGATGAACGGGTAAGACTTATTGCTGGTGTTTTATTCACAACTACAATAGACAGTTAGAATACATGTTATTTTTAAAGGTGTATATTTTAATGTAATGTGTCTTGTGAACTTTGTTTTATTTGAAAAGGTACGTACAATGCTGACCTGCGATACCAGTATAATATAAAATATGCACCAGATAAAGACAGTATCATGAGTAGTGATGTTTCAGTTCAAGTTGATCCAGTCAAGTAAGATCTGTGTTTATTATTATTAATCAGTTATAAAGCCATGATATTAGTTCAATATTCATTATTGTATAGTAGGGTAAGGTCTATGTTTACTCTGTATGAATATTTAAAAGTGGTATTTTTAGATATCTGATACACATATATAATGAAATAAAGCCAACAATAATTTTGTAATTTCAATTAACAGAACATGTTTTTTTTATGAGCGCTTTCTCATAACTATAAATGAAATATTATGATCTTTAATACAACTTGTATCTTAGTAAAGATTTATTTATTTACAGAACTAGTGTAGAAACAGGAAGTAATACTCTACCACTACCAAAAGCACCGGCCGAACAGAAACATCTAAAACAACAAACTAATCCTCCTGTACAGAGAGTAAGTAGCAGTTCCTTTCAGAAATCAAGAAAATATTGTGTTAAATTGTCTTTTATCTTAAAATTCCTCAATACCTCCTTGATACCTATATTTGAATAATAGAATTTATTATAGTTGGAGAGCAAATGACAAAATTTGTTATGAGGAAAAAATAGCTCTGCATTAACAGAGAGACATAATGTAATTTTGAAAACAGTTTGATAATTGTAACTGACACAGGCTGTGTCACATGACAAACATAATATATCTGTAATCATTGTTTCACTAATATCTATATTAATTATGTGTTTATTATTTACAGGAATTTACAGGAGCAGAATTTGCCTACAGGGCTGCTAAACCACCTATAAAAGTTCCCATGTCTTTTACTGGAGATGTAAGTATGACATCAAATTCTCATTTGATCATCAGCAATCAATTATAAAATGGCAGACCATCAATATTAACTGGGAAACCAGAATAAAATTTTGTTTATTTATATTTCAGAGTTTAAAGAACCCATCCCACGCTAGAAGAGTAACTATTGTCAATATAACAGGACAGAAATATGAGACGTTGTGTGATCCAAGTACAAACGGTCGTCAGTTATTCGACGTTATTGTAGCTCATATCGGACTTACTGAATATTATTATTTTGGTCTGACCTATATAGCAGGTAAGTAAGATGTTATATTATTCTGTATTTAACAGAAGTTTTAGTTTTCTCAATACTCACATGGTTAGTACAGGAGAACCACACTACATATTACAATAAACATTATTTATATTGTATAGAACAGGCATATTTATACATATCAGGATTCAAAAAATAAACAAGAGAAGTCGTTTTTGTTATGTTATTTTATTTTAATTGTAGATTCAATGCATTATTTTATTATAATTGTAGATTCAGAGCATTATTTTATTATAATTGTAGATTCAGAACATTATTTTATTATAATTGTAGATTCAGAGCATTATTTTATTTTGATTTTAGATTCAGTGCATTATTTTATTATAATTGTAGATTCAGAGCATTATTTTATTATAATTGTAGATTCAGAGCATTATTTTATTTTGATTTTAGCTTCAGGGCATTATTTTATTATAATTGTAGATTCAGAGCATTATTTTATTATAATTGTAGATTCAGAGCATTATTTTATTATAATTGTAGATTCAGAGCATTATTTTATTTTGATTTTAGATTCAGGGCATTATTTTATTATAATTGTAGATTCAGAACATTATTTTATTATAATTGTAGATTCAGAGCATTATTTTATTATAATTGTATTCAGAGCATTATTTTATTATAATTGTATTCAGAGCATTATTTTATTATAATAGTAGATTCAGAGCATTATTTTATTATAATTGTAGATTCAGAGCATTATTTTATTATAATTGTAGATTCAGAGCATTATTTTTTTTTTATTATTATAATTGTAGATTCAGAGCATTATTTTACTATAATTGTAGATTCAGAGCATTATTTTATTATAATTGTAGATTCAGAGCATTATTTTATTATAATTGTATATTCAGAACATTATTTTATTATAATTGTATTCAGAGCATTATTTTATTATAATTGTAGATTCAGAGCATTATTTTATTATAATAGTAGATTCAGAGCATTATTTTATTATAATTGTAGATTCAGAGCATTATTTTATTATAATTGTAGATTCAGAGCATTATTTTATTTTGATTTTAGATTCAGAGCAT